CATAGGATGAGGGGGTACTTGAGTATTTTCCCAATAATTTATGTATGAAAAAAATTAAAAAATACCTTGAACTTTGATAGAAGAATCATATATACCTCTAAATAATTTTTTAAAAAAAATTAGAAGTAATAAATATAAATTTAAAACTAATTTTTTAACTTCCGTTAAATGAAAGGTATATGTAAGACATTTTGTAACGGCAGGGGTATATATGAGCCGTTTGTACAACGGTAAGGACATATACGAGCCACTTTTATAACGAGGGATATATCACCTCCAAATGACAAAGTTGAGGGGTATATCAGACCCTTTTCCCATTCATAAATAAAATATCTGATTTAATAATATTCATCATCTATATGTAACACCAAATTGCGAAATTGGATTATCATTTTACCCTTACACTAAATTATTTTTATTAAAAAAAACTAATTAATTAAATATTAAATGTTTCTAAAAAAAAGACCATTTTTCATTCACTAAATTAATGTTCCTCTAATAATTTATGCTTAGAAACTAAATTATTACGCATTCATTAATGTTTCAATGTACAAAAAATTAATAACATATCTTTTTTAGGAATTTGAAAGGTTATTTTCAATTTACAAGCAACTTAATATGGTTTATGTATTGACAAAATGTCAAAAGTCACGTTATCCAAGAAAAATTGTTAACAATTGTCATGCATTATTTTATATTAATGTCCTTCAACTTTGAGTGTGGACAAATAGACACTTAAACTTGTATAAAGTTGAACAAATAAACACATGAGTCCTACATGACACAATACACGTAGGACACCATATAGAACAAAAAATGACATGTAGGATATGTATGTTTGTTGGTTCAACTTTATACAAGTTTAAGTGTCTACTTGTGCGCACTCAAAGTTGAAGGACATAAATGTGATTCGGAATCAAGTTAAAAAGCATATTTATGTATTATGCCAATTATAAAATCGCGTAATAAATTATTACAAAGTTATTTGTTCTCAACTTAAGTAATTGTTCCATCTAACTTTCACTTCTCATCAATATGTTTGAGTCAAAATGAAACAGTTTTAACAGGTTCTTTAAGATTTTATTACTCAGTAATCGTGAAGTATGAGTTAAAGTGACTATATGTTGGTGAGAATAATAAATTTTAGGCATAATACATATATTAGACCTAAACTTGACTTCAAATTTTAACTTTGACCTCCAACTTTCATAGTGCACAAACATGCACTTTAACTATCCAACCTTTAATTAATAAACATGCGAGTCTTGCCTGAAAAAATGTGTGATGTGCACGTATTTTGCGCGAGTGATGTATAATTTTGAGGCCCAAAACGGAAAAAAATGATGAAATGACAACTCTACCCTTAATGAATTCCTTTTATATATACTTTTATATTTTCAAATCAAAATCTTTTTTTTTAAATTCTAAATGACGTGTAAACTATTTAGTTAGGTGACAATCATTGAGTGACTCACTAATACACGTGGGAGAGTTTGCATTTTACTCTCTTTGGTTCCAAAAATCACGTGTTTATTTACTTAAAGGTTGGATAGTTTAAGTGTTTGTTTGTGCATTATGAAAGTTGGAGGTCAAAGTTAAAATTTGAAGTCAAGTTTAAGGTCCAAAATATGTATTACACCTAAATTTTATGTCAGTGAGAATAGTAAATTTTAAAAAGTAATTATGTCATTATAAATTTTAATTATGAAGTAAATGGTTAGTAGATATAAATGTGGGTTGTTTTAATAAAATATAAACTTGGGGATCAATTTTTATATTAATATCTAAAATCATGATATGATATTCCATATGATTCCATATCATGGTTTTTGGAGAATATGGAATCATATCTCATGATATGGAATCATGAGATGGAATCAACGTAAAATCGCATGTCTAAACGTTGATTCCATCTCACGATACCACATCATGATTTGGTATCGCATGACCAAACGTCTACTTAAACTTGTATAAAATTGAACAAGAAGACAATAACAGTAATTCAGTAGCGAAAGAGACTAACATGATTTTCTTAGGCATAATACACAAACATGATCCTTTACTTGGCATTATGACCCTTAACTTGACATCAACGAACAACTACGCCCTCCAACTTTAAGTGTGCACAAGTAGACACTTAAACTGTTATAAAATTGAACAAGTAGACACAAGTATCCTATGTAACGTAATACACGTAGGATACCATGTAGGATACAAAATTGTCGTAGGGTGTCATATAGGAAAAATGTGTTCATTTGCTCAACTTTATACAAGTTTAAGTGGGACAAGGTAATTTCTTTTTGGGGAACTTTCATATATAATCATTTAGAATTAGCTTAATCACGCTCCATATCTATAATTTGCTAGTTACGATTCGTAACTACATGTTATAGGGAGGAGAGTAGTGAACGAGATTGGGAGAGGGAGGAGAGAGGTGAGGTAGAAAGTGGGAGAGATATGAATTGTATATGTATATCGGTTATATAATTATATATATGTAACTGGTATAGATATGTATTTGTATATCTGGCGAGCGAGATTGGGAGAGGGAGAAGAGAGGCGAGTGAGAAAGAACAATATTTGTATAATTCGCAGCTCATTTGTATAATTTGCAGGTACGTTTTTATAATTCGCGTATTTTTGTATAATCAAGTAATATAAAGTATAAAATTATACAAATATGATAAAACTCAAAATAACGAATTTATACAAACATAAGCATAAGAATTTTAGATATCCATATAGATTACTTTGTATAAATTCGAAAATCACACGTTTATACAAACTTTAAAAAGTTATACACAAAAAGATTGAATGTATATGTAGTGATAAAACTGAAAAACAAAGGAAATCATGTACATATACAAATACAAACCATTGAATACATATTCAAATCAAATGAAGAATTGTTATGATACAAATGTGGCGAATTATACAAAACTGCCTTATATCAGCCCATGTAATTAATTGTTAATGTTAATTACGAATGATAATTATAGCAAATTATAACTTCGGAAAAGGGTCTGATATACCCTCAATTTTGTCATTTAGAGCTGATATACCCCTCGTTATAAAAGTGGCTCATATATGCCCTTACCGTTATACAAACGGCTCACATATACCTCTGCCGTTACAAAATGGCTCACATATACCCTTTATTTAACGAAAGTTAAAAAATTAGTTTTATATTTATATTTATTACTTGTAATTTTTTTTAAAATTATTTAGGGGTATATATGATTCTTCTATTAAAGTTCAAGGTATATTTAATTTTTTTCATACATAAATTATTTTTTGACTTCTTTTATTATAATTATTTGAGTTTCTTATTCTTATTTTGTTTTTTTTCTTTCATTCCTTAGTTTAAAGAAAAAAAATTAAAACTATTTTTTTATGTTTATTGTAATTTAATTTCGTATTCGAAGAAAAAATTTGGTCATCTATAATAAGTTTTACAAGAATATTAGTGAAACATAGATAAATTTGATTATCAAAATAATAATTATAAATTAGTCATTGAAACAAAAAAGTCAAAAAAAAATATATTTGACGAGTATTAAATTTACTCATATGAGATTATAGTTTTTAGAAAAAAAAATAAAAATTTAGATTAAAATTATTTTTTTTTCATTTACGTTAGAGGAAAAGGGTATATGTGAGCGATTTGTTTACAAGTAGGGGTATATATGAGCCACTTTCATAACAACGGGTATATCAGCTCTAAATGACAAAGTTGAGAGATATATCAGGCCCTACTAATTAAGTAGTATAAGTTTGTTTAACCACATAATTTCTCTTTCTTTATATACTTGGTAGATATGAGATTCTAAGCTTAAAACTATTAGGGGTGAAAAAGAGAATACAAAAACTATTAGGGGTGTCAAGGTAATTTGGTCAAATAGTAAGATGAAGAAAGTGTGATCCATGAGAATTAGAATATACTTAAAAACAGAATTTCCCACCCAAAACTTTACACACTTGGACAAAACTTTGCAGTTTGCAGTGGAGCCTTCACACCAAAATCCGCCATTGGAGATGAGTACTCCAGTTGAAGAAGTTTCTGCTCATCTAAAAAAATTCAATTACGAGGATTGGATTTCAAAGCTGGATGCACTGTCAATATGGATGTACAATTTCGGCGACCAGCATTTCCCGTCAACTGTAGAACAGAAAATCTCTGACATCGAGCATCAAATTTGTTTGTGCATTGAAGTCCTCGAATCAGTTCCTGCAGGTATGGATTATCAAGAAGAAGAAAAAAAGGCATTCAATTTCATTTATCAAGTGAGTTTAACTGGTACGAATTCGTGCAGAGAAGAGAGAATTAAATCGTGAATGTGCAATGTTTGAGTATCTGAAAGGAAGATTTTATAATGCAATTCCTGATGTTTATAAGGAGGAAGCAGAGCGTCATCTACTGAAAGCTGTGAGTGAAAGAAGAATTGCATATTTAATGTGTTGTTGATTGTTGAATTTGCGTTTGGTTGGCTTCTCACTCTTAATTATATCTACCAGACTCAATTAGATCCGCTTCTGATGGATGCTTGGAATTGCCTCGGCTCTTGCGTTGCCAAAAAAGGGAATTACCAAGAAGCTAAAGAATACTATCAGACTGCCCTTAAAATGGTTATATTTCGCTGCTTCTTCAGTACTTAAGTTTTGTGTTCTCCCAACTTCAAACGCTCCCTTCATTTAATGGATTCTTCGTCTTTTTCTTGATTTAGGGTGAAGAAAATGCGGTAATATTACGTCAACTTGCAGACCTTGAACTGACGTTTGCACAAGGTGAATGTAATTCTTCATCTTTTATTTGTCTTGTGTTTTAGCCTCTGGCTTAGGTGATTATAAAAGCCGTGTCTGTGAAGTTCTAATTCCATCCTTAATTAGATACTTTACATATTTTTGGCAGTCTGGAATTCTGATTTTTAATTGAATATCTTCATTTAACAAATCGAAGGAAATGTATAATACATTTCTTTCAGTCTCTTATTAAGTAAATAAAAGTAACTCATGGAGAAAATTCTGAAATCTATATCTATTTCATAGTTGCTGAAAATCCAGCCAAGCAGATTGATGAATGCATCAAATATGCCGAAAGGACACACGCTCTGGATGACATGGATGGAGGTTGTTTATGTAAGACTGCGAACATAATTTACTACAATGAGGAACTGCTTTAATTACTTACCTATGAGATTCTCTGATATTGTGTCATACACTTTCTGTGCTTTAGCACTCTCAGCTTGTCCAGTTTGCTAAATGTTAACTTGGTGATTGTCAAAGACTGTTCACCCTTCACATATTGTATAGCTATAGTTAAGAAATGTTGGAAAAATGAAATTTCCAACAAGAAGTAGAGCATACAATTACATTAAAGACAGATTCAGGTGCCGATATTACATACTTTGTTAGATGGAACCATGAAGTAGCCTATGCGCAGTACGTATGTTATACTTAGATATTTAACTAGTATCTGCACACAGTTATAGCTATAATAAACATTTTGATAGATCCAATTTTCAAGTACTTCACTGAGCTTCATTTGGTTAGTAGATATCTTAGGATGTGCACATTTCACTTCCTTTCTTCTGAGGGGAGGATGGGATCACAATAATCTTCAACTGGCATTAGAGGCATACGAAAAAGCTGTAAGTAGTTCTTACAATCTTATCTCTGTATATTTATTTCCCTTTATTTTAACATGACATATACGTGTACAGTATTAGCTCCCAGAAAGCCAGCTACTTTTGATACTTGGAAGTTTTTCAGGTTTTTTACTCTATTTCAGAAGAGAATTGATACAATGAAGTCAAACCCACATCTTGAATACGACTGTAGCATGGTAAGTCGCTGAAAGAAACAACTGATTTTCACGTATGAACTGCTGTATCATATATAAGATCTTTCAAAACACAAGGTTCTCAATTATTGCTAATTATCACCTTGTATTATTATGATGGTGTTCATAAAGAACAAGAGTTGGAAAAATAAAAATAAAGAAAAAGAAAGGAAGACAGGAGACCATGTATCAGGTTGTACACTGCACCATGCAGCAAGGAAAGGATATTAGTTTGCAATTTTTTGTGTGGATCACAGATAGACTTTGTTTCATGCAGCAAGGAAAGGATATGAGTTTGCAGTTTCTTGTGTGGATCACAGATAGACTTTCTTTCATCATCTTAAAGGTTGCAGAGAATGCCTCTAAATAATCTTGGCTCTATCAGAGTTTGAGAATCATTAGGATCTATTTGATACATAAACATCCAAAGGAATGAAACCATTCAAAAATAAGACTCTGAAAACTTTACAGATAAGACAAAAGTTGGTAAATTAAAGGAAAAAGCCATGATTAGAAATAGAAATATTCTCTCATATAATAGGAAATATGCACACAGGTTGTAATATGATAAGGAAGCACTGAAAGCCTTACAGAGAAAAAGAAAGCTGTACGTGAAAAAGTTAAGAATCTGATCAAAAAAAAAATTGCCAATAAGAATCTGATAATAACTCATTGAATTAGTTACCTCTTTCTGGTAGTTAAGAATCATGTTTGGTACGAAAAAGTTCAGTAAATGATTATTGCATGATCAGTGACAAGTTGAATTGAGCTTGCTACGAAATAATCTATCTAGAAGAATAAGCGTGTGATAGGGAAGTACAATTTGAATTACAAAAACCGTCTGATTAAAAAGAATTGGCGTCAGCAAGCATGAAAGTTTTATGCTTAGTGAAGAAAGAACCAATATTCTCTAAAAAAGCTCACTTTTATTCATCTTCAAATTTTATGTTTGCAGATATCATGATATCTTAAATATAGACTTCAGTTTCCCCCTTGATGTCTCTAACTGGATTTTCAAACGCTGCATTAAAGAATCCTGCTAGTGATGCTTTACATCAAGTGAAAGTGACGCTCCAGCTTCTCGACAAACTAAAAGGATTACTTCAGGTAAGATTATTTGATTGTGGTTATTTTATATAAAGCATCAGCAAGTGATAATACAATCCATTGCATTAAGAACGGCTTGGTTGAAAACATTAGAATCATAAGGGAAGTGAGTATGATCAAAGGTGCATTATCTTCCAGAATATATACAAGTGCAGGCCAGTGATAACTACTTAATTACAAGAGTTAGTCAAAAAGTCACACTTCCTGCAATTGCAAACATCTGACCTGTCCAACTCCCAACATGTCATACTGGAATGCTTTGATGTGTTCACACTTACCTGTCACTAGTATGGAGATCTAACCTGTTTAAACACTGATTTCATCGTCAGAGTTACCAAGAAATGCTTTCTGTTTCTTGATATACCATAATGTGTGATGAGGCAGTCCTTTGAATGGTTCCCGAGATAACCAGTCAATATCTACAAAGTTCTGCTCTGACAACCTTTAGGAACAAGTACAAATGATAGCTAGGGTGGACTTATATAACTTGAAATTTGGTTTTATGGTATGACCAGAAAAACACCAAAAGATGCTCATGTTTTTCAATGATTACTAAAATTGTCTTAATGTGTAGGTTTGAGGCGCAGTTGATTGAGTGAATCTTTGAATATTGCCAAACAAGTAGAGGCTAGGGAACTGGAATAGGCCGTTAAGATTATGCGGAATTAAAGAGTTGTTTGGATAGAAATATTCAAGTTGGGTGTCTAAGTTAGTAATACCCTAACTTGTAACTCTACTATGGCTACCCCAGAAAGCTTGGTTAAGTTTCTCCTACTTGATGAATTTTTTTCTGAATTCTTTTCACTAACAATAACAACATGCTCATTGAAATCCCACTAAGTGGGGTTTGGGGAGGGTAGAGTGTACGTATACCTTAAACTACATATATTTACAAAAGGTACTCATGCACAATAAAGTTGTCCATTTGGGAAAAGGTTTAAGAATTAAGCATTAGACTTATCTAAGAGAATAGGAGATGAGGTACTGACCGATTCTTGTGTCCTTAAATAGTCCAATTTATTTGTTCAATGAGTCAATACAGCACAGCCCCGTATTGACTGAACGGTGCCTGGGGTAACATTATAGTTGTCTCTTCTTCTTTCATTTCTTGAATTTTTTAAAGAAACAGGAAAGTTATGATGTAGTCTTTGAAAAATAATGCCTTAAGATTCTCAGTTGTGAAATGCTTTCTTCTTTTGAAGCTGTTAAGACATAATGAATGAGATTGTGAAGGATGCATTTGAATTACGTGATCCTGCTTTTCAGGTTAGGTGATATGACAAGAATAAGGGGAAGAGTAAGCGAAAGAGCAAGGGAAAGAGTAAAGGAAAGAGCATGAAAACAGGCTTGCCTGCCATGATCCAATCACTTTCTAATATTGATCGTAAGGCTTTACATTCTTCTTAGATATTGAACTGTAAACAATCTAGTTGAAGTAATAGAGTGCTTTCTGGCAGTGAATCCTTCATACAAGAGAGTAACCGTGGATCTCTTAACTGAAGGCTTTAACAAACAGATTGAGGTTGTAGCAGCAGTACGATGCTTAGTTAAATATGAGTATAAAGCTCCAGTGTAAGTTACATCATCTTGGAGGAACCCACATGAGTTGATCATTTTCAGCATTTCCTTTAAAAGTGAAAGTCACTTGTCTGTGCAGCCCTAGTGTATGCTAAATACTTATCTATCAACGTATACTCTTAATCTACAGATACTATATGCTCTGTGACTCTGATTAGAATAGTTTTGTACTCACAGCGTTCGGCATACAGAAGGAAGCAGTAAGCACTACTTTATGCGGTTTAATTATTTCTTGGTACATTTATCCATTAAGACCTTACTTCCTAGAAAAAAGTGGTCTAGTGGATACCGATATGAGAAAATTAATAAATAAATTTCAGATATTGACACGTTAGTTTGCTGCTAAACTGCTGCAGCACTACATGCCAAAAAATAAGTGAAGGATCTTTCCTCCCTTTATTCAGTTCTTATGTTTCTTGATACATTTATCCATTAAGATCTTAGTTCTAAGAAAAAAGTGTTCTACTTCTTTAATACATAGTCAAACACTAAAGATGAAAAGAGAGAATAGTAAAGTGAGTTAGCACTTCAAAAAATTTCTGTAAATTGGAATAATTTGTTTCTATGTCATTCTATCAAACACCATTCTTATCTTGATTTCCCCATTTGTCCATACTTGAAGAGGAAAAGATTTCCTTTGCCGCTTAAGTAATCCATTAGTGAGCCTGAATATCTCTTAATAATGATGATCATCTCATTCAAAATGTTTTATCTTTGAATATTTATCCTACTCCAGACTTTTGTGGTGACACATAGCGTATTCCTACTAAAATGGAATAAGAAGATGAAATAACATAAATGAAGCTTCTTTTAGGAAATGTATGCTCTATGAAAAGTTGATACTGCAAGGAGAAAAAGAAACAAAAAGGAAAAGAAGTGAAATGACACAGGAACTATGAGTCATGACAATACTGTTTTACATCAGAGTAATTCACTGATATTTAGTTTCTATAAGCATTTCCAATCCAATTCCCCATTAGATATTCACATCATTACTTAACAAACTACTGTTGTTTGACAGATTAAACAAGGAGATCAGGTCATACTATTGGAGCCCATTTGCAAATTTATTGATTTTGAATGGGAAGGAAAGGTAAGTATTTCAAATGCAATGCTATTACAAAGATGTCATTTTTCTTGCTATATCACATTTCCCCCTCTATAAGCACCACATCTTAGATGAGTTCTATTAGCTTATGGATCCCTTTAATTTGTGTATCGACTCCACCTTATAACACTTGAGCCTCTTGCAGTGGTAATTTAATTTGGTGTCAATGGTATGGTAAAATTGGTAAGTTACCTAAATAGGATAGGAGTTAATCTGGTCCCAGTCTGCCCTTTTCTTGATTGTAATTGATTGGAAGCAGAGCGGTCTTCCCTAAACAGGAACATGAAGTCATTTCTTGCAGTTTCTGAAACCAAACAGTTTCCAAATGAATAATTGGATAACAGGTGGTTTAAGTGCTGGAAGAATAATGATTTGCCTTGCCCATATGATTTATAATAATGGTATTGTTATTTTTACCGCAACATTATCAATTCAAGTCTGTGCGAGTTAATCTTCTGGAACAAGTCCTTTTAAATGGAAATCCCCTGCCTCCTAGTTCTGCCATGAGTGACTCATTACCATAGGCATAATACTCGTGTCTATTACATGCAGTAGCCCATGTATTTTTTTTTCAATCTGACAATGACGTTTCCTTATAGATGATATTTCTTTTTTTTTTGACATTTGACATCGATGACTTGTATGAAGTAAAACTTGTGTTCTCTTTCTAGTTCTTCGGCCAAATCCTATCTTTTGATATGCATTATTTGTTGCCTCATTAAAAATCTTGCTAGGAAAATTTAGTTGGAAAAAACTTCGGTAAAGGAAAAAAGAATGCAACACATATTTTACTCCTTCTGATTAAAAACCACCACTTAATTTCTTGTGATGATGTCATGCAATCTTCTATACCAACTTCTCAAATATTGATATTGACAGTGTCTTTATGATCAAATCACATTCACGAAGATGTTGTATCGTTGAACACATCTTGATATATCATTTTTTGCTTTCATGTATATATATGATGAGGCTTTGAGCTTAATTAACCAAATACATTCTTGAAAATCGTTCTATTGGTGACCTTGTTAATGCAAGTAAATTGCTCATTCAACTTATTCATAGTAACAACCATATGTGGACACTTTTATTTGCTTGATTGTCTTGTAGAATAACTTTATATATGTACTCGATGTCATTTCAACGTCTTCTCGTTGCGGAGGAGTGAAATTTTGTCAATAAACTCACTGCAAAATATTTGATCATATATAGCAAGGTTCAATGGTTTCCTAATTGACTAATATGGAGATTCATCACTAAGAAATTTTTCATTCTTCATTTGAGATCGAAATGATTTATCAAAACTTTTCTATGTATGTTTATTGATGGACAAATATTCACTTGTCAAATTCTCAATAAGTAGATCAAGAATTTTTTTATCTTAACAGAGTTCTTTTTTTTTTCATTTTAGATACCCATTTTCAAATGTTCAAACTTTCGGAAGCTCTTTAAGATTGCTAATAATGTTCAAGTTATCAACATACACAACTATTATAACAAATTTATGTAAAAGCCCAGAATTTGGAAAAGGGAGAAAATAAAAATTTTGGATTGCAGGTTGTGTCTACGGTTCTCATCTAAGGACCTAGAAGCTTCTACTAGTTGTATATAGCAACCGTAGAAAGTGGTAAAAAATAAGTTTTTTTCAAAACAAATCCTAGTATCCTTTTTACGACTCACCAGGTCGGTCCAACATTTTAGTACGAGTCATAGATAGGTCTCGCACATGACCCCAGACTTATTGAAATTTTAAAGCCTAGAGTTCGTTTCCACAGTTGGCATGTACAGACCGTAGGAGACTTACGAACCGTACATGAATTCCGTCAAAATATTGGTATGATTAATAGTCTCTGAACCTATAGATGGTTGATCAGTTTGGTCCGTACAATCGTAGATGTGGGTCGACAGTTAATTTTAAGAATTTTTTTAGTCTTTTTCCTAATTATTCAATGCCTAAACTAGGTTGTTTTGATCCTAATCCTAGGCCATATATAAGTCTTCTAAACCTAAAAACTACCTAGTTTAAATCACTTTTCTAAAATTCATGAATCCCCTCCAAGATCGTCCCCCAAATTTCCATCAAGAGCCAAGGAAGGAGAAAGGTGGGATTTGGCTTGAAGAGCTCTAATTCACCATTGATTGCTAAGGTATGATGATGTTCATCTATGGAGTCCTTTCTTCCATAGGGTTCCTAAATTTTCCAATTTTACAAGTTAGTTCCTCCAATCAAATTTAGGATTTTATTCAATCTAATGGATTATTTTCAATTATGAACTAATTGATTGTTTCTATTATATTATGCATGAATTGGAGTAACTATGTGTTTTAAGTTAAACTTACATGAACCAATGCTATTGGGAAAGACAAGGCACTAACGAAGAATGCCTGACAGGATAACAGCGGAAGAATACCCAAGTCTATACTTTCCCTTCTCGATTTGAACCAAGAGAAGACAAACAACCACAAGCAATATGATAGTAAGGAAGCAAGTAATTCAACCAAACAAATATAACAAGGCAATAATAAACCAATCACACAAGACACCAAGATTTTCGTAGAAAACCCTTCAATGTGAAGAGTAAAAAACCACGGGACCAAAAGCTCCACTATAATCACCAAGAGTTACAATATTGTTCTCCAAAATTGTCCACAAAACAAGTGTCAAACAACGAGCAACAACAACATAAGATGGCACCAAATCTAGAGAATTAAAGTAGCAAATTCACCAATTTCGCAGCTACTGTTCACGACAGCAAAACTGAAGCTTCAGGCCACCAAATCCAACTCTGTCAGCTCCTAATCAAATATTGAGATGAAGATAATATTCTGTCCAATAATCAGCTCAATCGGACAAGAAACGAAGTGGGAATCGCAATTTGAAGTTGGTTGTTAGGGCTGAATTTTGACTGCGAAAACTGCTCTCTTTCTCTCTTTTTGGCTGCTGAAAAAACTCTCTGTGTATATGAAAATAAGACCTAAATAGGCTTATATTTGCCTCATAAGAATGGTCCTATGGGCAAAAATGGGTTGGTCCAAATTGGGATTTTATTTATCCACATAGGAAGGGAAAAAAGGCCCATAACCCAACAATTCTCCCCCTCACGACTATGTGGAGGAGACCGCCATCCCGGCGACCATGCAACAAACTTCAAACTTCCCTCTTGGCAAAGCTTTAGTCATCATATCGGAACCATTGTCATTTGTATGAATCTTTTCAAGCTCAAGCAACTTAGAATCCAACATATCTCGAATTCAATGGTATCTCACATCAATGTGTTTAGACCGACCATGGAACGTAGAATTCTTGTCAAGATGTATAGCACTTTGAATGTCACAATAAAGCACATACCTCTCTTGAGCACAACCAAGTTCCCCCAAGAATCTCTTCATCCAAAGCAATTCTTTACAAGCTTCAACGACAGCAATAAGCTCAGCTTCTGTAGTAGATAGAGCAACACATTTTTGCAACCTAGATTGCCAAGACACAACTCCCCCTGCAAAAGTAACCAAGTACCCTGAAGTGGACTTGCGAGTATCAACATCACCAGCCATGTCTGAATCAGTATAACCACAAAGAATAGGCTTCCCTGTACCAAAACACAAACTCAGACTAGAAGTGCCACAAAGATATCTCATAACCCACTTCACAACATTCCAATGTTCTCTTCCCGGATTAGAAAGAAAACGGCTAACAACTCCAACAGTGTGAGCAATATCCGGTCTTGTACAAACCATCGCGTACATCAAACTACCAACAGCTGAAGCATAAGGAACTTTCTTCATATCTTCCTTCTCATCATCATTAGAAGGACACTGTTTCGTGCTCAATTTGAAGTGCATAACTATAGGTGTACTGACAACCTTAGCTTTGTCCATGCTGAATCTGCGAAGTACTTTCTGAATGTACTTCTCTTGTGATAATACCAATTTCTTGGCCTTTCTATCATGGACAATCTGCATGCCAAAAATCTGCCTTGCTGGTCCTAAGTCTTTCATAGCAAAAGACTTACTCAACTCTTGCTTCAACTTCTGAATCCTGCAAGTATTATGACCAACAACAAGCATGTCATCAACATGAAGCAACACAATAATAAAGTCACCATCAGAGAACTTTTGCACAAAAACACAATGGTCTGAAGAAGTCTTCTTGAAGCCCTACTGACTCACAAAAGAACCAAACTTCTTGTACCACTGTCTGGGAGCTTATTTCAAACCATACAAGCTCTTCTTCAATTTTCAAACATAATTCTCTTTACCCTTGACTTCAAAACTTTCCGGTTGCTCCATATAAATTTCTTCATCTAAGTCACCATGGAGGAAAGCAGTTTTAACATCCATTTGCTCAACCTCTAAATCTAGACTTGCAGCCAAGCCTAGAACCACACGAATGGATGACATCTTCA